ACACACACACACACACACACACACACACACACACACACACACACACACACACACACACACACACACACACAATCACTGGTTCTTTGCGTGATAAACATATTTTATTCCTATTTTTACTCAGGGATTTTTTCTCACTCACATTATATTTAATTCATTATTTTCCTGACTTTAGAAATCATTTCTGATCATGCAGGGATCTAACAAACGTGTCCTTCACACATGCAGGAAGTAATTTGCATCTGTTTAACATATAAAGGTAATAAAGGTAAAGGTGCTTTGTCATCAGTGTGTTTCCACACAATGACGAAATTTGTGCTCTGCATTTAACCCATCCACACCCAAGTGGAGCAGCGGGCAGCCATGTGAGGCGCCCGGGGAGCAGTTAGGGTTAGGTGTCTTGCTCAAGGACACCACGACATGTGGGTATGGCGGGGAGTCGAACCTAAGACTTTCGGGTCCCAAGCCGGCTGCTCTACCACTACACCACAGCCGCCCCATGTTTTGTACTTTATGTTAATGAAGGCATGTCAGGGGAGGTGTCTTACCTGCGCTCAGTTCCACGTTAACTGTGATGTACAAAAGAAATTTGCGTGGATTCAGGCGTACGCACAGTTTGATACATCTGGATTTTTTTGTGCGTACACCATTTTCTGGATTTGACCGTATGTAAGGTTTCAGTAAGAAATCCACGCAAGTCTTTCTACATGAGGCCCCTGTTTTTTTTTGCATTGATGAGTTCACCAGTGCTTTCTTTCTTTCTCAGGACCAAACTGTAGATTTTGCACTCCTAATATTGTAGCAATTTCTCAGATGGATTTTTTCTGTTTTTGCAGCTTAAGGATGGCTTGTTTCACCTGCATGGAGAGCTCCTTTGACCGCATGTTTACTTCACAGCAAAACCTTCCAAATGCAAGCACCACACCTCAAATCAACTCCAGGCCTTTTATCTGCTTCATTGAGAATGACACAACAAAGGGATTGCCCACACCTGTCCATGAAATAACCTTGGAGTCAATTGTCCAATTATTTTTGGTCCCTTTAAAAACAGGGTGGCACATGTTAAGGAGCTGAAACTCCTAAACCCTTCATCCAGTTTTAATGTGGATACCCTCAAATGAAAGCTGAATGTGTGGACTTTATGTCCATGTACATTATATAACTAKAACTTGAATATGTCTCAGTAAACAGGTAAAAAGACAAAATTTGTGTCAGTGTCCAAATAWATATGGACCTAACTGGATTATATCCAACAGATCAAACAAGTCAAACTACGTCTTTTTAGAGTTTCAAGTTTCAAAATAAACTGACTYTTACTGTGGTCGTTTCAAAGCTGATAAATGCTTTTAGCAAGAAAAATCTTGGTGCCGATAAAGTTTGCACTCATTTCCTCATCCGCAGTGTGAGGTCACAGGTTGAAAAAAAAAAATCCCTGAAAGTTTAAATCTAAACTTAAAAGGATGTTCAATCTGACACACGTCACAAGCAGGAAACACGGCCTGGGGGGAAAAACCCTCAGCAATCCTTCATCAGTTTCCTCCTATTGAGCTGAAAAATAAAAACTCTCAGGTCAAATGTTTAAGGGCTGAACATCTTATAAATATCTCAAACAACATTTCATGGCTAAATATCTTAAGACCACACCTGCCCCTCAGATGGACAACTCCTGTAGTGAAACCTCTGGATCTTTGGCCTTGATTAAACCAGAATGATGAACAGAGAATAATGATTTAACAGCAGAAATATTACTGATATTTATTAAAAGGGTGTACAGCTTAAAAAAATAATAAAAATAACAGAACATATAAAAGTCTGCAATTTAATTAGCATTGGTTAAATCTTATGTATTGTTCACTTAAATAACTAATATGTCCAGTCATAAAACCGATTTCAGATACCTGGAATGGAACTGTGGTGAAGCTGAATACAGTGGTTTGCAAAAGTATTCATACCCCTTGAAATTTTCCATATTTTGTCACATTACAACCACAAACATAAATATATTTCACTGGAATTTAATGTGAAAGACCAACACAAAGT